GTTAAATAATTATTCATTGCCTTTATTCTTCTGTCAAAGTGTGCAAAAAAAAAAAAAAGCTTTTTATTACCTTTTTTTTTATATAAGGACATGGGCCTTTGTGACATGCATTTTATTTTAAACTAATGCTTCTATTATTCCACATCTGAATAATTATAGCTGACATCATCTTCTCTTCGGTGTCCTAGAAGATCTTTAGCTCTAGTCCACTGTTACATATTTTATGCATTACATGAAATAAAATACCTCAAGATTTTGAAAATATTTATTTTAAAAACAGCAATGAAATTGTCTGTAATCACATTTTCTGCTCTGCTTTGAAAGCAGCATTATTCAATATGCCAGTGGTCTTTTCCATAAGAGCAACATATTAGAAATTCATGCTGCTCTAATATATCTGAATTCATTGATGTACTGCACTCCCTATAGACCTAAAGAAACATTTTTGCTTCAGTTTCATATGTCCTGCACATTACCTACTGATGTGGTGGTTGTCAAAACAGTTGTACAGTAGCCTTTGAATTCAAAGTGTGCCTTGACTGTATACTAAAAATGACAATAAACCTAAGTATATACATTATGCTGGCTTTTCTTACCAGCACAAGTAGAGCATTTGGGAAATAAATCCCCTGATTTTATTGCCTTTTAACATCTTTTCCACTTTAAACTTCAAACCCAGAAATCTGAAGCATTTCAAGAAACTAAAATCTCTTTTATTTCTTTCTTGTAAATTTTCTATGGTATACCATCATGAGCCACATTTTCAAAAAGATCAGTACAAGATTATAAATGAAAGCATTCCAAAAATAGGTTTTTTTCCTCTACATAAAAACAGCACTGTGATTTTTAACCCTGGTTTCTTGGGGAAAAAAGCAATCATCTGTAAAATATACCAAAGAAGCTGAAATGTCTATAATTTTGTTGATAGAATGAACACACAGTAGAACTCATTTTATAGAACACATCCAAAAGCATTTTTACAGATAAACACACACTTTCATAGGGATGGTATATACGTGCATTTGTTTGCAAATGTTAGAAGGGTATTTCTTGCGGTCCTTGGAATATTTCAGGAAAATTCATGCAAACAGAGAAGTGCTGGCAGGTCAAGCCCCAACTGGAACTGAACCAAACCTACATGGGGCTACCTTCAACTGTAGTAAATCAGGCAGGGATCCCTATTCCATCATATAGAAACAAATATGCCTACAGGACCATCAGTACATCTTCATTAAACAGCTCTATCTATACTTAATTGGATCCACTTAAGAAGCAGGAATAGAAGTCATGTCCATTTTGAGGGAGGACTTTAGAGGGCTCCCACATGGCTGGACCATGCTGGGGCTGGACCGTGTGTTCATACCACCGTGTGCCACATTCTGCACAAAGTCTGTAGACTTCTGAACCCCCAATATCCAGATACAATGAGCATCTAAAGAAATCTGTACGTAACAGCATGGTATAAATTAGTGTGCATGTGCATGTGTGTATATATGCCTGTATATCACCTAAGCAGAAAACAGAAATACAGAAACATAGAAGCCAATATATGAACTGATAGCAGAATAATGAGAAAGAGAAATTTCAGTGATTTTTTTTTTTTTAAAGTAGTGGGGGTGCAATAGGACATCCAATCAATCAAAAAAACTTCAAAGGCGGCTAATTCCAAATTTAAGTATCAGACACAGTGAATGGCAATGGGAATTTTTCATCTCCCAGCATTGTAAAATTTTTCAGAAAGAATTCCCACAGTGTAAAAAATCTGTAAGAAGCTGATCCCTAATACGAATTCACTGAGCTGATAGTGGGCTCTTATTGTGTATGTCTAAGCACTTCCACAGGGGAGAATTCTTACAGAGCTTGGGGCAAATCCTGCAGTCCTTACTCAAAGGGATTTCATCTGCAGCTTGGAGGGAGTGCTGCACAGTATGAAACCAGGACTTCTAATGGGGGGAGTTTTGAAGGATTTTGAAGAGGGGTACATCCTAGATTTTCAATCTGTCCAAAATCATGGAAATCCTCATCTGAAAACACCTGGTAGATGAGATGAAAGAAAAATGCTACAGTCAGTGTACAAACTATTTTCCTACTTTGTTTCTGACCTCACTGTGTTTCCTTTCTCTTGTTTGGCTAGCATTAATTAAGGCTTTTTCTATAAAAACACCAACTGAAAACCACTCACTAGCCAAAAAGGAAGGTATTATTGCTAAAATACCAACATGGGTTAAAAACTGGCTAAAAGGAAGGATGTTGAAAGTAAAAAAAAAAAATAGACCAGATTCAATCAGAGGCACATAGCACTGCAGCTGAATTTGTCCCAATATAAGTAAAATTTGCTGAAGATGTGAAATTAATTAGGGACAGAGAACAGCCAACAGATTCATTTCTAAGAATAATTTTTCTGAAAATGCTCATTAGTGCCCTGAAAAATGAAGCGAGATATGTGGTTTCCAAATACACCAAGCGGTAGTTGATATACCAGAAATTATATGGCACCAAGGGTTTAGATAGATTGTAGAAACTTACACATTATTTTCTAGGTGAGGCAATATAGAAGTGATTTAGGCAAGTACCTGCTAAATGGATCAGAGTTTGATGAGATAGTAAAAAGGAAACTTAGAGATGAGTAATAGCAAGAGAAAAGAGTCATATTGTAGAAAAAATGTAAAAGGTTCTGGATTATAAAAAAGAGCTTCAAAGCTAAGTAAAGAATGCTAAGTCTACAAAATCCTCAGTCTTTCTTCATCAATTGAAAGCAAAAAGGACAATGGGGCCATTCTATTCACTGAAGAAGTTACTGAATTCACTGAAGAATTAACTGAAATTATCTCCCTCAAGTTAATTCCTCTCAAGTTATCAAATTCAAATCAGAGGAACTATACTGCCAAACAGTATTTGAACCGTACAAAATTGTGGTGTTAACATCCTACCAGTTGTACTAACGTGAGATGTAGCTTAATCCCCTTAACAGACAAGCCAGTTTGAGTTCAAACTATTGCTAGTTAAGAGGACCTCTTGTGTGCGAAGGGCATGCCAGTTAGGGATAACAGTTGACTTAGCCCATGATACTTAAAGGATCATGCTTTATTTATTGAACGAATACTCAGAAATGACTGATAAAGTTTAGCGCATATTTTCTTGAGGCCTGATTTTCATTTTTTCTGATCTGCACTGAGTCCCAATAGCAAAATTGCCTAGTTATATTAATTCAGCTTTTTTGTATTTGCCCTCGACGCAATAATTCACTGTGATGATCTACAAACTCTCAAGGCCCTTTGTTCAGAGCTTGTTGCAAGAGGTTAATGTGGAATATCAGAGCTTAAAAGAATGCATAGATTTGAGCCATAGCCATGGCTCAAAAGAGGTCAATTCAATGAAATACTGCTTGTCTTGACCGGAGTGCCAAGCGTTTCTCTTACTTTTTCAAGTCCTTTCATGGCTCTGATTCTCAGAACCCCACACAAGATTTAGCTCATGTTCTTTAATGCATGCCATCAGCTTTGTAGAAATGCAAGCAAAATTAAAAACATTTCCACGAAGTATATTTATATTTCTCTATGAAAATCTGCCTCTCCCCCTCTCCTCCCATTATTGAACATAACCCTGGGGTCAGATTCTGACCTCAAACACAAAGTGTGTAACATCCTAGTAAATCAATAACAACTGAGCAGCACATAAGAAGCCAAGACTAGCCCCCCTGCAGTACAGCTTGTTGGACATCCTCAGAGAGAATGCAGAGCTCCTCGAAATCAAGGTGGCTTTATTTTAATTAAGTTGCAATGAAGCCCTGTGACAAGGCAGATTTTTGTTGTAAACTAACTTTTTTCCAGCCACCACGGCCCCCCAGCCCCTGGCTCTGGGGCTGTTAGTCTGAGGGTCTGATGGGGAGCTGAGCTAGATCCCTCAGCCCACAAACCTCCATACGCTGCCTCAGCTCCCAGGTTCCCAGGATTGATTTTGGTTTTTTAGGTAGTGGGATGGGGAGCTAGGAAGCTGGAAGCCTAAACAGCCTCAGTCCCTAAGCATAGACCCTCCCAGCTGGGACACAGTGCCCTAAGCCTCTGAGCCTCCAGTGAAAAGCCCAGACCCTTGGATCTCTAGGAATGGCAGATCCTTAACTTCGGCTGTCTGGATCTGCAGTTCCTGGGCAGCCCATCTAGCAGAATGCCTGAAGTCCAGTGAGCCCCACACAATGCCAGGCCCCATCTTCTTCCATGGGATTTTTAACTCTTCAGCTTAGAATTGTACATTGACGTGAAGTAATGCCCTCTTTCGTAAAATGGTCTTGTTCTGGAGCTGCTATGCAAGAAGTATACTAATTATTTGTAGAGCCCACTTGAAAATGTAACATGTAAAGTAGCTCTGCAGTTGTTGCAAGCAATTTAACATTCAAAGAAGTGATTTATAATATCAGGCTTCCCAAGATTACGACCATAATGACTATCTGACAGACTTTATAAGCAAATCGTCCAGTCATTTCAATTGGATTCTGGCTGGCTAAGGACTGGGAACTGTAAAAAGGCTATAAGATTTGGCCTAGAATCAGAAATAACATTTGCTGTTTTCCAAACGTGCGGTAAACAAGAAAGGAGATATTAAATTTTTGTACATCTCTCAGCACATGCAAATGAGAATGGAAAGAGCCTCGTCAGACGAACACAGAACAACGGCCATCTGGATCCAAACCCTGCTCCAGCAGAAGTCAAAGCCTTGAGCCTCCTTTTGTCATTATTTACATCCGTGTAAAGCAGGAGTAATTCTGCTCAAGGTGGCGGGTAACATCCTGGCTTTGAGGAACTCAGCTGTAAAATCCCCACCGACTTCAGTGGGGGGGGGAAGATTTGACATAGGGAGTGCGATGTAAAACCCAGAGTCAGGCCAGCTCACTCCATGGCTTGGGTGGTGCAGGAGCTGGCCCCTTGGAGGATTTCAAGCAAGTCTGTATTTCCACGACTTCGCAACTTAAAGTAGTACAGAAGGGAAAGACTAAAAATGCTTACCACAGAGAGAGAATTGGAAAGGAGTGCCCCATCTTGGCCAAGCATGTTGGAAACTGTAATTTCGGGTAGATCCATGTTTTGTGGGTGGAATGGAAGGAGGCCGTTGTGGTTCATGGGATGACACAGAGAGTGGTACCCAGACTCTATCTCATTCAAGTGCACCAGGGAGTGGTCAGGCAATGACGGAGGAGTTATAGGAGGTATGTTAAAATCTTCACTTTCAAGACTTGGGCCAGGAAAAGACTGAAAAAAAAAAAGGAAAGTGCTATGAAAATCATATGAATACTGATCAAGAATAATAATAAAAGTCACACAAAACAAACAAAAAGAGCCCAACTCACATACTTCTAAGCAGAGCTTCAATTTAACAAAGAGAATATTTTAAACACCCATACATTATAACAGTGGAGTTTCACCATTATGTATGGCAGAAAAATTGCCTCTAAGGCATAAGAATCTCTGATACTTTCACAGCTTCCATTAGAAAAAGATTTTTTTTTAACCAAGCTGAATTCAGATTTCAAGGGTCCTATTAAAATTTTCCAAGAGTGTTCATCTAGCTGAATACCTTTTTCATGGGAATTGTGGAAAAAGGAATGCAATTTATAAAATTAACATTGGCTCAAACTGGTTCATAAGACTCCCTGCTACTCAGATCAAGAATTACATAGTGAAGAAGATATTGCTTTTAGGCTTACAGGAGAACCATGCATTTGTTCTGCTACAAAGAAAAACAAATAAACACAGAAATAGTACATACTTTGTATGAATATGCTTTGTGTTTACAAAAATACATTTATGGTGTCTCAGAAACACTGATTTTTCCTTTCTTAATCTATAAACTCAATGATACATACATTTTATCAGTCACCTAAATGAGTTAATCTACAAAACAACTGTTTAGTCTTTTGTTGTCGGCTGCCATTAAGTCATCCAACTCAATCTGATCCAAGGAAAAGCCACAGGCAAAGTCAGAGTAATGCACCAAGGTGGATAATTGCTATTATTTATCTACATTCTTTGTATGGCAGGTAGGCTCATTTGGGGGATAGGGATGGGTAAGCTTATATTTCTTAAAGGAAAAAGGTGAGCAGGGTTGGATACATGACCCAAATCAAGAGTTAAAGGGATCAGTTACAGTGGTTCAGCCTGAAAGCCTGCTCTGCTTTTCTGAGAACAGCCACAGTTCTCATCTCCTTTGCAAGTGATCAGCCTTTGCACATCCCACGCCCACAGTCACGAGGTTTATAGCACAGAGACTAGTTCCACCCTTCCTGCCCCTCTGCAGCAACACAGCCCTGCTCTGAGTGCTGCTTTTGTTAATTCTGGAAATGCAAGGATTTAAAAACGTTCTGCTCCTACAAAGTGTCTTCAGAAAACATGAAAAGCAGGGCACAATTTCAAAAAGCAGCTATTAGAAGAAAATGTTTTTCCCAATACAAGTTTGCAAATGGAGGACAGTATGGTGTATGAATTAATGCAGAAGGACAAGGGAAGAATCAATGCCCAATTATAAACAAAGGGGTTTTTCATTAGTCATCATAGTAATAGTGTCCTCCCCGATGCCTGAGGTTACTCTCCTCTGTATGAGCATGGATATAAAAACTTAAATCAGACAAACAACAAACAGTGTTACATGTTTTCAGTGAGCTGCTGAACACAGAAGAACCTACTCTAGTGCACATTGTCATGGTTTTGGTTGCTTTGCTTGTTTCCCAACAAGGTTTACACCTCTGTTACCAAGTATCTTGGTATGAAATAGAACAGGAAGGCTAGACTGCAAAGGCCAAAGTAAAATCCCAAAGAATGAAAACAACAGGACAGGTAGAGGAAGAGGTCTGGCAGTGATACCACCATCCTTATGCCTGAGGATTTTGATCCTGCCTATGCTTTCCAGCTGTGTTTCTCATCTCCAGCAGAGGAGTTTGCTCTCCCCTTGTATCTGCCCTCTCCTTAAGGGGAAGTTGGTGTGAGTCTACTGCCATTGGTAAGTCATATTTGCCCCTGCTTTTAGAAGCCATGATGCAGCCATCAGCAGAGACATTTTCAAGGGAGGAAATACGTACAGTAAAAATAGACCCTCACTAAATGGAGAGAACACTTACTCATGACAAAGAGAACACGTCATATTTACTCAACCACAATGTATAAACTGTGCAAAACCAAATAAAGGTATTATGGACATACTGTATACACTATTTGCTAATTACTATTACATTAAATTGATGATGAAAAGAAAGGTGTCTGAAGTGAGCTTAAGGTTTAACACCACAATAACAAAGCAGCGAGGAAGAGAAATAAAGGAAGGGACAACACCCATAATGCTCTTTTGGACCAGCACTATCCCACACAAGTACATTTAGATTTGGTTACTGTAATCTTGGTGAGTTTAGATCCATGTAACCTACAGCTACCAGGAGGGATTCATGAGCCGTGAAAAGAGGACATTTTGTGTTCAACACTGTCTTTTGTACTGTCCCAAAAGACTGATGGCCTGAAAAGAGTTTTCTCTCCCATGATTTTGCAGGTACAAAGAAGTGTTAACTCAACATTTGTTTTCTCTTTCTCTCTAACTATCCTAGTGAAAATACCTTGTGCTGCATCTTTGCTGAAACAAGATGTCTCAACACCTTCTAGAGGAGGAAGAGATCTGCCCTCCTACTTTCCTTAAGGAAGAGTAGGACAAGGATCTACAGTATTCTCTCACCACTTCTTTAACAAGAAGAAGAGACTTCAACTTACATTCGCTACTAAAAGCAAACATTCCTAAACCAAATATTGACAGGCTGTGTGTGCCTACATCATTAACATTGGGGGCATTCAGCAAATCTGCTGTCTTATTCGTATACCTTTTTTGCATGCCATATGTGGATAGTCCAGGTTTTACTTCAGTTAGGCTTTGATTTGCTGTGTTTTAAATGTGTCTTTAATTAGTAACACTTCAAAAATGGTGGAAGCAATTGAACTGCCATTACGACATTAGCTTCACTTATTAAAAAGGAAGTAAAACACTAGTGGCATAAAACTCCACAACTCAAGTTGCATTATGTGTAACTATATAATAATGTTATATATATTATATGGGCTAAGCATTTTAAATAGATGGTTGCTCTCTGATTATTTTAAAAAATTACACCACAGTTACTGCTTGTGAACCAGTTAGAGTGTATTTGATCCCAGATCACTGTCGACTACACTTAAATAAGCTAGGAGTAGTGTAGCAAAGGCAATAATAACACACCAAAACAACATATAATTCAAGCACTAGTACTTCCCATAATGTTTTTTATTTTCTTTTTTTCCCTTTTTTTTTTAAGACATAAACTATTCTATTACTTCAATAAAGCTAGGCAGAATCCAAGCCATATGCTAATGGTATGGAGAGCTATCTGAAAGCATCTGCAGGGCACCCTATTCAGCTAACATTCTCAGCCAGTTTGGTATTTCCATACTTAGTATGTGTGTATGTAACACATACAGACATAACTTCCTCAGGGAAGCTACTTCAACAATAACGTGACTCCAGTTTGTGTTGTCCAGGAGCATGGTTCAGATGCTTGTAATGACTTTGTACACAGGTGCATCAGAAACGAATAATGCTATATACATTTGCAGCAAACCCAACATATCCCGCAAACAAGGCTGTTGCAACTGCACGTGGAGAGAAGGAGTGAGGAACAGGACATATGCTTGTCCTGCCAATAGCAGCTACAAGCTTCAAACACCTTCTCCTAGTATCCTGCCATATCTCTCCTCGCCATTGGGAAAGCATTCTTGAGGAACCATCTGGACTCCCTTGACGCAGCTGATCCAGTGCTGGCAATGGGCTCTCCTGGAACGTCATGTTGTTACCCAAAAAAACATTTAAGGGAACTCCAGCACAAGGCCAGGCCCGACTCCCACTCCTAGGCCAGTCATCATCCTGACCCGACCCCTGGGCTTTCTTAGAGCATCTCTTCTTCCAACCCAAGCCATTTATCTGGAATTTCTAATGAAAGCAGTTATCTACTATCAAAAGCATTAGGGAAGGCTACACTCCCTGTATCCAATTACAATTCATAAGTACAGCTCATACGTATTAATAATAAATGGTGGCCTGTAGCTTCAGCTCTGTTAGGTTTTTCTTGGGGGTGGGGAGGAAGTTTAGGGTCTCCCCCCCCAAGGGTTTTTCCCTTCATAGTTGGCTTTACTATAGGCAGGACTTTCTCTATTCAGAAAGACATGGAATAGCTCGCCTTTTCACTTTTGAATCAAAAAAGAGTAGGAGTAAATGCTTTATTTACTTTACCACAGAGCTGCTAGGAACTTTGCCAGTGGTTTCGCTTTCATCTCATGACTGTGGGAGTGGATGAGGTGTTCATCAGCTCTTCAGTTTAGTGGAACTTCCTGGACCTTTATTACATTCCTGAGAGAAAGCCCTCTGCAAAGTAACATCATTAAACCCACTGCATAGCACTGAACAGACACGGGCTTTAATTTTACTTTATTATAAAAAGGATTTTCATTACACCTGTATTTATTATAAGCAGATTTCCGTATTTCTTAGATGGGAGCTACACAGTGGGAACCTCAGAACTGAGCATCCTTAAATTTGGGTTATTTATAGACACGAAACTATGAAAAAGCTGTTTGAATCAAGGATGTCTTCCCAAATCTAAAGGACAATATTCTATGTTTCTGGTAAAATATTTGTGACATTTCTGCCTCAAATGATGGAAACTTCATAAAGCAGACAATCTTTGAGATGACCACTCTGAGATCAAGATACCTCATTATCTATGCCACCTTAGCCTATGATTTTATGAGAAAAGCTTGCCAGAATAAAATTATATGAACACTTAACCCTGATTCACTGTCCAACTCAAGTCCAAGCTTTTGTTCCTGAACAATGACCTTGTTGGTCCCCTTCAATTTATCTTTTATGCCACTTAGCCTGGCCAAATCCAGCAACAAACCATGGAAGGGGGGCAAAACTGGGGGGCGGGGGGGAGATGTATGTCAAAGGTCAGTTCTTTACCAACATAACTCAAATTAGGGCTAAGCATCCTGCTGTGCTAATAACACACACAAAATTCTAGTATTTATTTTTGAGGAATCCAGATACTCAGTTATCAGAAAAATAAGGGAAATGCTTGCACAATCTGCTGCATAAGTACTGAGGAAAAGGGAGTAAGGTGAGAGAAGGAAATAAAAATAAAGCCTCTTTGCTTAAGTACTTTGTTTAAGTACTTTACAGTGATGACTGGATATTGGCCAGTAAAACTTACTTACGTTTCAAAATAATTTTAATAGAACTTTAAAAAATAATCAGAGAAGGGAAGCCAAAGGAGATACGTCAAACAGACTGACCACAAGAGGCAGCAAGCATTCAAACATCCAATATAAATCCCTCTGGAAAGAGCAGAACCTTTACTATACGACAGCAGAGAAGACAACATACTTTAAGTAAGTCTAATTCATATGCTCAGTGGTTGCGTCAGTCACCATGCATATACTCAACAGAATCTGGTATTAGCAACAGTTCCTTAAAAATTGGGAATTTTCCTATAGATATTTAATTTAAATTAAATGAACGGTACCAACTATGTAGAGCATGTCTTAATTTTTCATTTGCACCAAGGCTTCTGCATCTGAACTGTGGAAAGATGCCAGTTTTTAAAAGATAGATGCTTCAGGCTGTCTCCTCTTCTATTATTGAACACATTGTTACATAACTGAAATACTTATGAATCGAGAGTAATGTAAAAACAATGAGCTCATTAGAAGAGGAAAAACAGCAACGTACCTTATGCACTTTTGAAAGTTAGGATAATATATTTGACAGCAGATATTTCTAAGAGTTTTAATAGGATCAACCTTATCTCTAATTTCTAAACGGAGGACCTTCAGAAGCAAGTGTTTTTCAGCTTCTTTTGTCTCTGCATGAACAAGGCTTGATAGCTTGAGACTATAATGCATTACTGTGGAAACCTTCGGTCTGTAACATAAATCATCTTAATACTCAGCAAGAATTGTCCAACAGTGCCATTGATATGTTCAAGTCAATGATCCTGCAAACAATTTTTTTGTGTTTCTTCATATGGTAGACAACAGCAATAAATCATATTCATTTAAAAACACACAATATACTAATTTATCAAGCAACAGCTATCAAAAATATATTACAGGGGAAGGTATAGCTTTTTTCTATTGTGTTAATCAATTTCTCTAATTTACATTAGGTAAAGGGCAAAGCCTCAAGCAAAACATTAATTTTCCAGTACCAGATGAATTCTATTTGCAAGAAGGAGAATGTGCTGACAATGATATTATTGATTTAAAACAATCACAATTTCAAAGTTAAAATAATTATGTAAAACAGTACACTTTTTTTAACATTCCACTCTTGAGAGTCTTTTCGTTAATTACATTAATTTTATACATAAACTATAGCGGTTTGCTGGGAAACGTGTTTTCAATGAAGGTTTTAAATTGAAATACATGTTAAAGATGACAATAAGTAGAAGCAGAAATATTATAAAAGATTACAATATCTGGGCTCTGCAAACACCAATACTGTAATCGAAGCATTTAAACTTCCCTTCAGCCAAAGACCTAGCTGTGCACTTTTCCTACTATTTAGAAAGTTTGAGTAAATTTGGAAGAGAAGTGCAAGTCTTTTTTAGAATTACTGATAAATGCCCAAAGCAACTCCTTAGGAATGCACAAGAGCCTTAGGCACACACGGGGCGTCCTCAGACCTCCAGCCTGGAGTCTTGCCCCGCTCACCAGCACCACCCTCCTGTCCTCCTTAGCGCATCCCTAGTGGGGACTCAAACGTGGTCATTGTTCGACACCCTTTTCATTGTTCTCTCCTGAAAAGAAAGGCAGTTGGTCCCCCCGCAGCGTGTGACAGTCCCTAATAGTGCAACCTCCAAAGAGCAGCACTGGGGGTGCTTTAGCAGGACCCCTGCATAAACAGGGCTCCTGCTTGTCCAGTGTTTTGGGGATGCTGAAAGGAGGGGGAGATTTTCACCACAATAGGTTTATACCATGCTACCTCCTAAAGACAAGTAGAGCAGCTCCCTCCCCTCATAGCTACTGCGTCAGGCTGTTTACAGACCAGGAAAAGGAGGCACGGAAGAATATTAACAAGATTTTCTTTCCAACAATGGGAGCAAATAATAATAATAAT